GTGTGTCCTGCCATGAGAGATCCTACCCTGCAGGATCTCTCAGCTCCCTGGGTCGCCTTTCCACAGGGTGAGCTCTGGCCCTCTGGAATGGGGACATCTCCTTCTCCATCCTAGACACCCCATACCCTTCCTGCCTTGTCACCATCCCCATCCTGGGCTTTGGCAGACCCAAACAACAGCAGGATCCCCTGTGTGAAGCCCGTCCCTTGCTCCAGCCCCTTGGTGACAGAGCCACCTTGGGTCACTGCATGGATTCTCCCAGACCATGTGGGCTTCACAGGGGGCTTCTGCTGAGGCACCAGAGCACAGCAGCGCCAAACCCATTCTCAGGGGCGCAGCACCCCGTGTTGCCAGCGGCAATGTCTGTCACCCAGCTGTGCTGTCCGGGGCCCTGCCTGAGATGGGGACAGGGCACATCCCAGAGACAAGGTTACTGTGACAGCTTCCTGCTGGTGGCACCGTCGGAAGCCCTCAGGGAATGAGTACGTCCAAACAGGTATCGGTCTCTGGACGCGGTGGAATCCGCTTGTCTAGCATTTTCCTGGGTTGGCCCTTTAAGGATGCCTTCTCCCCTCTCCCGGAGCAGGCAGTAGGTGGGACCCGGGCGGTGTTCTGCACCAATCGTGAGGTTCCTTGCTCCGTCTCTCCCTGACTGGCAGCAGGATGGTCCCGCCCCATGGCTCTTGGAACGGGCAGGGAAGGGCTGCAGAGGGGATGGAGGCCCCTCGATGACAGCACCTCCACCGTCTCTGCCCTCGCCCAGAAAGATGGTGTCCCTGTCACCATCCACCCTGCCAGGCACAGGTGCCCCCGGCCTTTCTCACCTATTCCCCCAGGTCCCCTTGGTGCCCGGGTGGTGGGGACGAGCAGGGTCCCCAGCAGGAGCTGGCTCCCCTGCCTGCCACGCCACTGTGGACCCCAGCCCCGGAGGGTCTGCATGCAGCCAAGGGAGGTCAAGGTGGCTTTGACTGCGCTGAGGCCAGGACTCCAGGGCATGACTGCACGAGGCTTCTGCAGGGATGTGAACTGAGTTAACACCATGCAGCTTGCCACCATCCTTTGGGACAGGGAGAGGGCGAAATGACTGTTCTGCTCCCCCCTGGGGAGGCTGAGACCCCTGCTTTTGCCCTCCAGGAGATTGCTTGGCTGCAAAGCCGTGTCTGCTGCAGAATTTCAGTACGTGTGTCTGCCAGGTGGGCGGCTCAGGCCTCCTTCCCAGTTGGACGTCCTGACCTGATGTCGTGATTGGTGGTGGTCTAGTGGGCTTGTTGGCTGGCTCCGTGCATTTGCAGCAACTCGGGTACTGTGAAGGTTGACCCCTTCCTTGTCTCAGGGTGGGGAAGGGGTGTCCAGCTGGGTGTGTGTGGGGAGCAATTGCATTCCAGCTTTGAATGGATCACCCATCTCTGCCTTCCCATCTTCTGCCTCTGACACCCACGGGGGGCTGGCAGGGGTGGGCATCCCTGTCTCAGTGCGAGCTCTCCTGGCTGATGGTGGTACTGGTGGCAGTGATGCCTCACTTACAGAGGCAATCCTGGGGTCCGGGCAGCAGCCAAAGCATTAGCTGAGGGGGAGAAGAGGGGTGGGAGAAGAGCCCCTGGCACCTCAGGGCTCTAACAAGCACCTTTTCATCGGGCATGAAAAGTCCTTTGGCCTGCGTTCATGACAGCTGCCCTTTGTCTCTGGGCGCGATGTGAAGCCACCATTGTGGAAGGGGGAGCGCACAGGGAGGGCTTGTACCTAGCTTCCAGGCTGCCAGGACGTGCAGTTTCCCTGCGAACGGGAAGCGAGCTGTCGGAGCAAGTGACTCAGACTGGCGGAGGGGAGGCCGGGGGTGGCAGCCCCGCTGATGCCGGCTCAGGCCCCTGCCTCCCGCACCTCTGGGGAGCCACCGCTGGCTGAGAGGGGACGGAGCTCTCGGCCAATTGGGCACTGATCTGAAGCGGGGGGGGGGAAATCTGCTTCTCCCCCCCCCTTTCCACCTCCGCGCTGGGGCTGTGATTCAGTTCCCCTCCCCCAGCCCACCCCCTCTGCTTGGAGGCTGACAGCCGGAGCCGCAGCCTGCCGGAGCCCCAGAGCTGTTTTCCAAGCTGTTGGAAGAGAGACCCAGGGATTTTTTTCGCAGCTCCCCAGCGCCTGCTGTGTCCTGGGCCGGACGTGCACAGACATGGAGAGCATCAGCCTCCAGCGACCCGCCTGGAAATGGCAAGTACTGAGTTTGTTTTTGCTCTGCGGCTGGGGCTGGGTCTCCGGGCAGATCCGCTACTCGGTGGTTGAGGAGTCGGAGGTGGGAACCGTGGTGGGGAATGTGGCCCGGGACCTGGGCTTGAAGGTGGAGGAGCTGCCGGGTCGCAGGCTGCGCCTGGGCTCAGAGGAGAGCCTGCGCCACTTCACCGTGCGCCTGGACAGCGGCGCACTGGTGGTGAGCCAGCAGCTGGACCGGGAGCGTCTGTGCGGAGCAGCTGCCAGCTGCGTGCTGTCAGTGCAGGTGGTGACAGAGAACCCCCTGCAGCTCTTCCGCCTGGAAGTGGAGATCCTGGACCTGAATGACAACTCCCCAAGCTTCCCCACCGCTCACCGCACACTGCGCGTTGCCGAGTCTGCCACAGTGGCTGCGCGCTTCCCCCTGGAGAGCGCGCAGGACCCTGATGTGGGCACCAATGCCGTGGGCTCCTACCGGCTGAGCCCCAACTCCCACTTCTCCCTGGACGTCAAGCAGCAGCAGGATGGCAAACTGTTCCCGGAGTTGGTGCTGGAGCATGCCCTGGACCGGGAAGAGCAGCCAGAACTGCAGCTGGTGGTGACGGCCATAGATGGGGGAAGCCCAGCCCGCTCAGGCACGGCACAGATAACAGTCCTGGTCCTGGATGTCAATGACAACGCACCCACTTTTGACCACACCACGTACAAGGTGCAAGTCCCAGAAAACACACCTGTGGGGGCCCTGCTCCTCCGGCTTAATGCGTCTGACCCCGATGAGGGCCCCAATGGGGAGACGCAGTACTCCTTTGGGGTTCACACCTCCGACTCAGTCCGGAGGCTCTTCGCCCTGGATCCCCGCAGCGGCGAGGTCCGGGTGAGTGGGCCCCTGGACTTCGAGGAATCACCTTTCTATGAGATCTACATGCGAGCCCATGACAGAGGGGTCCCAGAGATGGAGGGCCACTGCGTACTGCAGGTGGAAGTGGAGGATGCCAATGACAACCCCCCGGAGGTGCTGCTCACCTCCCTGCTGAACCCGGTGCCGGAAGACACCCCACTGGAGACTGTCGTGGGGCTCTTCAATGTACGGGACCGAGACTCGGGGGCCAACGGGGATGTGAGCTTGGAGATCTCTCCCAATATACCTTTCGCCATCAGGTCCCTTCAGAACCACTTCTCCCTCGTCACCCGGGAGAGCCTGGACCGAGAGTCCACCTCACAGTATGTAGTGGAGCTGATTGCCCAAGATGGTGGGTCTCCCGCCCTCACCACGACGCTCACGCTGCTCCTCAACATATCTGATGTGAATGACAACCCCCCGCACTTCTTGCAGCCCTCCTACGATGCCTTCCTCCCAGAGAACAACCCACCTGGCTCCCTGCTGTGCACTGTCTCTGCCTCAGACCCCGACGATGGGGATAATTCCCGTCTCGTTTACTCCATAGAGAGTGGCCAAGTGCAGGGTGCCCCCACCTCTTCTTTCATCCACATCAACCCTGACAATGGCAACCTCTACGCTCAGCGCACCTTTGATTTTGAGCTGCTGCAGGTTCTGCCAGTCTCTGTGGCTGTGCGGGACTCAGGGTCCCCCCCGCTCCATGCCAATGTTACCGTCTACATCTTTGTGCTGGACCAGAATGACCACCCCCCCACCATCTTGCACCCTGCTAGTGACAGTGACATCCCAGCACTCCAGAGGGTCCCGCTGTCTGCCCCACCAGGCTACCTGGTCACCAAGGTGACAGCAGTGGACGCGGATGCCGGGCACAATGCCTGGCTCTCATACCGACTGCTGCCGCAGTCCACCGACCCCTCCTTGTTCCATGTGTCGCTGTACACTGGGGAGGTGCGGACGGCGCGTGCCCTCCAGGACACTGACGTGGCAGCACAGCAGCTCATTGTCCAGGTGACGGACAACGGTGACCCACCGCTCTCCACCACTGTCACCCTCACTGTGGCCCTGGAGGAGGTGGCCCTGGAGGAGACCTACAAGCCTCGGGATTTCCTGGCTGGTGCCAAGGAGAAGCCGGACCTGACCCTCTACCTGATCATCGCGCTGGCAGCCGTTAGCACTGTGGTGCTCGCCACCGTCACCCTCCTGGCTGCCCGGTGCCTCCGGCGCAGAGGCCGTGCTGCCGCCTCGCCCTGCTGCTGCTGCTGGCTCAGCGAGTCGCCCTCCCGGGACTTCTTCAAGCACTCCAGCCCCAAGCTCCAGCTCAGCTCCGACGGCACCCTTAAGTACATGGAGGTCACCCTGCGACCCACCGACTCCCAGTCCCAGTGCTACAGCACCTGCTTCTCCCCCGGCTCCGACCGGAGCGACTTCACCTTCCTGCGGCCTTGCCCGCCCCCCGCGACCCTACCGAGGGAAACCGGGGCTTTCCTCTCCGCTACCGGTACGCTGCGGGACCCCGGCCAGGTGAGAGCCTAGGGGCGGGGGGAGGCGG